ATTATTTGTGTTGTGTTACACTTATGACAAGCTCTTTCAGTTACTTGCGTTTAGTTATTGTAATTACCTAATTTCTAGAAGGTTTTCCCTACGTTACTTGCACTGACGGGACTCAGTACTCTTAAAAGGGGGGGTAGTGTAAGGCTGAATAAGATGTTCATAACCATAGAGTAATAATAAATAAAGTTTTGTATTTTAATTTCATTTTTCATAGCCTAGGTCAGGTCCGTGTATGCAGCTCAACATAACGTTTCACTATCACAAGATGTTTGTTGTCAGACTACTGTTGCTAGGTGATGGCCCACGTATGGACACTGCTCAACCGCTGTCCATACCCGAGCCAGAAGCCGCAACACAGTGTGTTATCCTGACTGATCACTAACAGCTGTTTTTGTACGTACTTTTTACTTGAACTCATTAAAGTTCACATAAGAAGATTCCTTGTCGTGTGTCTCCTAACCCACGCACCACCACCACCATCACCAACGGAAGGTAAAGCACGACAATATATATAAGGACAGGTATATAGGCATGATTTTGAATTGACGGACCAAGAAGGTGTCCTTGTACAGACTCTTTCAACACATTTCAGAAAGATCAGGCCCTTGGAGCTCTCCCACAAAGCGATTACACCCGGATCTCATGGATCTTGATTTGTTTGACGAACGAGTTTCTGTCACTGTTTATCACAGCCACGATTTGTTTGGTGAGTTTCTCCCTGGAGCTGCGTCCGAAGTCTGTGGCGATTGGAAACAATAATGACACTAATACAACACTGAGAAACAACGGGATCAGGGCGAGTCTGGGATATGCACAGACCTCTATGCGCTTTAACAATCTATTTCACACAACAAACTGTCTCTGGCTTCAAAGAACAAATATTGTGCAGTATTCTTGATTATTTTCTCGCTGGTCTCTCGCTCTCTGGTCTTGCTCGCTCTCTGGTCTTGCTCGCTCTGGTCTCTCTCGCCATGTCTCTCACTCTGGAATCGCGCTCTGGTCGCTCGCTCTGGTCTCTCCCACTGGACTCTCGCTCTGGACTCTCTCGCTCTGGTCTCTCTCGCTCTGGTCTCTCTCACTCTGGTCTCTCTCACTCTGGTCTCTCTCACTCTGGTCTCTCTCACTCTGGTCTCTCTCACTCTGGTCTCTCTCACTCTGGTCTCTCTCACTCTGGTCTCTCTCACTCTGGTCTCTCTCACTCTGGTCTCTCTCACTCTGGAATCGCGCTCTGGTCGCTCGCTCTGGTCGCTCGCTCTGGACTCTCGCTCTGGACTCTCGCTCTGGACTCTCGCTCTGGACTCTCTCGCTCTGGTCTCTCTCGCTCTGGTCTCTCTCACTCTGGTCTCTCTCACTCTGGTCTCTCTCACTCTGGTCTCTCTCACTCTGGTCTCTCTCACTCTGGTCTCTCTCACTCTGGTCTCTCTCACTCTGGTCTCTCTCACTCTGGTCTCTCTCACTCTGATCTCTCTCACTCTGGTCTCTCTCACTCTGGTCTCTCTCACTCTGGTCTCTCTCACTCTGGTCTCTCTCACTCTGGTCTCTCTCACTCTGGTCTCTCTCACTCTGGTCTCTCTCACTCTGGTCTCTCTCACTCTGGTCTTACTATGATCTCTCTTTCCGGTGTCTCTCTCCTATATGTCACTCTCTGGTCTCTCTCTTTGGTCTCTCTAGTCTCTCATTCTCTGCTTTCTGGTCTCCCTGTGTGTGTGTGTGTGTGTGTGTGTGTGTGTGTGTGTGTGTGTGTGTGTGTGTGTGTGTGTGGGTGCGTCTGTATATGTGTATGTATGTTGTTCATTTCATAACATTGAATTGTGTTGTGAAACATGTCAGCTATACATGTAACAAAAGAAACCCTCAAAGAAAATCCTAATCTCAGTGGGACTATCCTTAAATAAATAAATAAATGCCCATTTGCCTTGTCTTCCGCTTTATCCATTGCCGGGTCTTGTATCTTGCTGACTCCCAGGGAAATGAAATAGATATAATGGACTTGAAATGGAGCATCCCGAGTGTCTCTGTCCTCAACTCTTCTCTGTCTGATGTTTTTAATGAATCATGATTAAAGTTGATAATGAGTTTAGTCTCACAGGACGAGACTCAATCTGTGCAGGATCCAAACTCAAACAGAAGAAGCCACAGCTCAACCCTCCAGCTGTCCCAGGGAATGGAGCTTCATCAGCATCTCTCTTTCTCCATAACTTATCTAATCTCACACACGCGCACGCACGCACACACACACACACACACACACCCACGCAGACACACACATATCTACACGCACACGCAATATATAACAGTATTAGAAAGCGGCAGCTCCTTATCAAATGAAATATATTCAAAGAGTGAGACCAGTGAGACCAGAAAGAGAAAGACCAGAGAGGGAGCAGAAACATAGACCAGAGAATAAAGAGAGGGACCAGAGAGAGGGAGAGAGCAAGACCAGGGAGAAAGACCAGAGAGCAAGACCAGGTGGAAAGACCAGGGAGAGAAAAAGAGACCAGAGAGAGACCAGAGAGACACAGACCAGAGAGAGAGACCAGAAAGAGGGACCAGAGATAGAGCAGAAAAAGAGACCAGAGAGAGAATAGCAAGAGGGACCAGAAAGAGCTACCAGAAAGAGAGAGAGACCAGAGGGATGGACCAGAGAGACCAGACTAACTTGTATTTAAGCAAAACAACTTTTAAAACATGTTTCAAAAACTCGAATCTCTCCTTGAAAGATCATTCAGAGTCTGTTTCTGGGTCAGTTCTGCAGTAGCCTGGGGGGGGGTCAGAGGTCAGGAGGAGGGTGTGGGGCAGATCCCAACACTCACTGCTCATGCGTTTGCTGAAGGGCACGAGGGAAAGGTGAAGGTGGAGGAGACAACAGTGAAGCACGAGGTGGAGCCTCAGGGGAGGATCCATTACTGAGGACGAGAGAGGGCACTTACATCTCACTGTTAATCACAGACCAGAGAGAGACCAGAGAGAGACCAGAGAGAGAGACCAGAGAGAGAGACCAGAGAGAGCCCAGAGAGAAAGACCAGAGAGAGACCAGAGAGAGAGACCTGCGAGAGAGAGAAAGCAGAGAGAGACCAGAGAGAGACCAGAGAGAAAGACCTGCGAGAGAGAGACCAGAGAGAGACCAGAGAGAGACCAGAGAGAGAAACCAGAAAGAGACCAGAGAGAGATCAGAGACCAGGGAGAGACCAGAGAGAGAGACCAGAGAGAGACCAGAGAGAAAGACCTGCGAGAGAGAGACCAGAGAGAGACCAGAGAGAGACCAGAGAGAGACCAGAGAGAGCAATCAGAGAGAGAAACCAGAAAGAGACCAGAGAGAGATCAGAGACCAGGGAGAGACCAGAGAGAGAGACCAGAGAGAGACCAGAGATTGAGACCAGAGAGAGAGACCAGAAAGAGAGCGGAGAGTGGATGTTCTGTGGAGGCAGTGACAGCTCGACGGCACTTTGCATGTTTTCATTAATTTCTGACCTTGAGAGCAACAAGCAAAAGCAGAGCTGAGATTGTGAGATAGACACACACTCTTTGTGCCTCTCTCGTTTTGAGTGTAACGTGTGTGTGTGTGTGTGTGAGAGAGAGAGAGACCAAGGAGACAATGAGTTTGTGTGTATGTGTGTCTCTCTGTCTCTGTCTGTACATGTGTCTGTCCCTGTGTATGTGTGTGTGTGTCTCTGTCTGTCACTGTGTGTGTGTCTCTGTGTGTGTGTGTGTGTGTGTGTGTGTCTCTGTGTATGTGTGAGTGTCTCTGTGTATGTGTGTGTGTGAGTGTCTCTGTATGTATAAGTGTGTGGTTGAGGTGTAGCTGCTGTGACACTTCAAGACTTCATACATACATTTTCAGATTATGCCGCTGGTGTTTACAGGTGGAGAACAAATCAATAATTTGTGTTACCCACAGAAGGTGTAGAATGTGTGTGTTTGTGTTGTTAACCTCCAGCAGGTGGATTGCATCAGTAATCAGAGCTGAGGAGCAACATAAGAAACAACAGTGCGATTGTCATAGACCCACATACGGTCTCTTTAGGCTGTAGTAGTAAAGGCAATAGTAATAGTAATTGATTGACTGCGGAACCTTCCGCAGTCAACCATTGGTTTTGTATTTCTTTATTCCGTCATTTTTTTTGACACGTTTCACAGCTTTCACATTTTCAACAATTTCCACAAGTTATACATCAAAACGTTCCACATGTTTGGGAGATTATTGCTATTACTTTTGGGACTTCAGCGATTTCCGGTTTTTCCGCAATCGGACAAAAATCTGCATTGAGAATTCTGCAATGCATTTTAATAGGCCCATGCATTTTAATAGGACTTCAGCTCTTTCAGACATTTCTACAGTTTCAATGATTCAACAGTTTCAAGGATTCAACAGTTTCAAGGATTTCAGCAGTTTCAAGATTTCAAGAGTTTCAAGGACTTCAACAGTTTCAAGGACTTCAGCAGTTTCAAGGACTTCAGCAGTTTCAAGGACTTCAGCAGTTTCAAGGACTTCAGCAGTTTCAAGGACTTCAGTGTAATCATGCAACCTAATAGGGATTTTTCCATGTAAACCAGATAATGCAACTTAATAGGGATTTTTCCATGTAAACCAGTATAATGCAACTTAATAGGGTTTTTTCATGTAAACCAGTATAATGCAACTTAATAGGGTTTTTTTTCATGTAAACCAGTATAATGCAACTTAATAGGGATTTTTCCATGTAAACCAGTAGCAACTTAATAGGGATTTTTCCATGTAAACCAGTATAATGCAACTTAATAGGGTTTTTTCATGTAAACCAGTATAATGCAACTTAATAGGGTTTTTTTTCATGTAAACCAGTATAATGAACTTAATGGGGATTTTTCCATGAAACCAGATAAGAGACCATGAGAGAGAGGCCAGAGTGAGACCAGAGAGAGACCAGAGAGAGAGACCAGAGAGAGACCAGAGAGAGACCAGAGAGAGAGACCAGAGTGAGAGACCAGAGTGAGACCAGTTGTTAGAGTCTGTATTTTACCTTCGGTCTGACTCCCAAGAAGCCGCTGCAGTTCAGAGCTCCACATTTACAAACAGTTTTCCCGTTTCCCAAACACTCCAGGTTATAGTTGAAGGTCAGCTCCGTCCCTGAGACATACACACACACACACACACACACACAGACACACACACAGACACACACACACACACAGACACACACACACACACACACAAACACACACACACACACAGACACACACACACACACACACACACACAGACACACACACACACACACACACACACACACACAGACACTGGATAATTATCTTAAAGAAGAAATATTACGCATTATGTTTATCCATTTAAATAATAATGAGACTGTTTAGATCTGAAATATTTACAGAAGAAATTATCTGAGGCCTGCAGCTCCCTCTGCTGCCACCAGAGGGAGCTGCAAACACCAACTTTTCACCAAAACTAATTTATGCAATATTTGTGTTTATAAAGGTAGAAAACTCTGGTCTCAGTGTGTCATAGTCTCTCTCTGGTGTCTCTCTCTGGTCTCTCTCTGGTCTCTCTCTCTGGTCTCTCTCTCTGGTCTCTCTCTGGTCTCTCTCTCTGGTGTCTCTCTCTGGTCTCTCTCTGGTCTCTCTCTCTGGTCTCTCTCTCTGGTCTCTCTCTGGTCTCTCTCTCTGGTGTCTCTCTCTGGTCTCTCTCTCTGGTCTCTCTCTCTGGTCTCTCTCTCTCTGGTCTCTCTCTGGTCTCTCTCTGGTCTCTCTCTGGTCTCTCTCTGGTCTCTCTCTCTGGTCTCTCTCTGGTCTCTCTCTGGTCTCTCTCTCTGGTCTCTCTCTGGTCTCTCTCTGGTCTCTCTCTCTGGCCTCTCTCTCTGGTCTCTCTCTCTGGTCTCTCTCTCTGGTCTCTCTCTGGTCTCTCTCTGGTCTCTCTCTGGCCTCTCTTTCTGGTCTCTCTCTCTGGTCTCTCACTGGTCTCTCTCTGGTCTCTCTCTGGTCTCTCTCTCTGGTCTCTCTCTGGTCTCTCTCTGGTCTCTCACTGGTCTCTCACTGGTCTCTCTCTGGTCTCTCTCTGGTCTCTCTCTGGTCTCTCTCACTGGTCTCTCTCTGGTCTCTCACTGGTCTCTCACTGGTCTCTCTCTGGTCTCTCTCTCTGGTCTCTCTCTGGTCTCTCTGGTCTCTCACTGGTCTCTCTCTGGTCTCTCACTGGTCTCTCTCTGGTCTCTCTGGTCTCTCACTGGTCTCTCTCTGGTCTCTCACTGGTCTCTCACTGGTCTCTCTCTGGTCTCTCTCTGGTCTCTCTCTGGTCTCTCTCTGGTCTCTCTGGTCTCTCACTGGTCTCTCTCTGGTCTCTCACTGGTCTCTCTCTGGTCTCTCTCTGGTCTCTCTCTGGTCTCTCTCTGGTCTCTCTCTCTGGTCTCTCTGGTCTCTCACTGGTCTCTCACTGGTCTCTCTCTGGTCTCTCTCTGGTCTCTCTCTGGTCTCTCACTGGTCTCTCACTGGTCTCTCTCTGGTCTCTCTCTGGTCTCTCTCTGGTCTCTCACCTGCTGGTACGTCCTCCAGAGCGAACAGTCCGACTCTGGTGTCTCCGTTCACCGTCCACTTCTGAGTCTCACAGTTCGGTCGACAGCTGTGGTTCATGAAGCGCGCCTCGTTCCCTTTCGGACCCGCGTCGATAATCCGGTCCTGAAACAAGACCAGACTCTGGTCTTAAACCCAGAGCACAGGGCCTTCTCTGTGGTCTCAAACCCAGAGCACAGGGCCTTCTCTGTGGTCTTAAACCCAGAGCACAGGGCCTTCTCGGTGGTCTTAAACCCAGAGCACAGGGCCTTCTCTGTGGTCTCAAACCCAGAGCACAGGGCCTTCTCTGTGGTCTCAAACCCAGAGCACAGGGCCTTCTCTGTGGTCTTAAACCCAGAGCACAGGGCCTTCTCTGTGGTCTTAAACCCAGAGCACAGGGCCTTCTCTGTGGTCTTAAACCCAGAGCACAGGGCCTTCTCTGTGGTCTTAAACCCAGAGCACAGGGCCTTCTCTGTGGTCTCAAACCCAGAGCACAGGGCCTTCTCTGTGGTCTCAAACCCAGAGCACAGGGCCTTCTCTGTGGTCTTAAACCCAGAGCACAGGGCCTTCTCTGTGGTCTTAAACCCAGAGCACAGGGCCTTCTCTGTGGTCTTAAACCCAGAGCACAGGGCCTTCTCTGTGGTCTTAAACCCAGAGCACAGGGCCTTCTCTGTGGTCTTAAACCCAGAGTACAGGGCCTACTCTGTGGTCTCAAACCCAGAGCACAGGGCCTTGTATTGGATTGAGCTCTGTGCGTACACCTAACCACCTGGGGGGGGGCGGGAGGGGGGAGGGAGCCAAGGGGGGGGGGGGGTCGCATCCTCACAAACACACACATACCCCACCCAACCAACGTGTGGGGCGGAGGTACATCCTACTATTCTCAAAGCTGATACAACAAAGATACAAACTATTATCTCCAGAGCGCAACATGCGGGAGGGGTGTTGGTGATATGTGGGAAGGGGTAACTCTCTACTATCTCTCTCTACTCTCTCACTAAGACACACGAGGTACATCTGTGGCCGTGTATACTTGCACTGAGTCGTAAGCACAGATTGTCATCACTAACAACACATCAGAATATACTAATAGTATGTAAATATCACTGTTTCATTGAGTCTACACTCTACACACACACACACACACACACGCGCGACTGCGAGACAAGATCTATCTAACTAAGTTGCTAAAAAAACCACAACCACCAACCACCGTATAAATGTTGAGAAGAGGGTTTATGGAGATAGAGAGGGGTGTAAGAATATGGAGAGGAGTAAATGGGGGGGTGTGAGGGGATGTAAGTGAGATGGAAAGGTAGGATTATGGGAAAGATGGAGGTGGAGGTGATGATGGAGCGAGTGGGTTGGTATGGAATTGATGCAAGGGAGAGAAGAGATAAATGGGAGTGAATCTATATAGGGGGGATGTAGATAGGTGGATAGGGGCGTAGGAAGATGTGGGGGAGTAGTATGAGTGAAGGACAAGTAACAGGACAGGGAGTATGAGATGAAGGGTGTAAGATTGAAGGGAGTAGTGTGTGAAGATGTTGGGTGGTTGATTGATTGGAGGTGTGGTATAGTGGTGGTATTGACAGTTATTTTATGGAAGGGGATTGTATGAGGAATAGGGGTAGCTTATGGACCATGAATGTGGAAGAGGGTAGGTGGGTTGGTTAAGTATAGAGTTGTAGAGTGGTAGATGGGGTTATGGTATAGGAATGGGATGAGGTGAGTGTGATAATAGTTGTGAAGGGGGTTGGTAAGGATGGGGGGTAGGGAAGTAGTGTGGATGTATTAGGGGGGTTGGTTTTTAGTGGAGGTTGTAGGGTTATTATAGAGGAATGGGAGTATGGGGTAAATTGAGGGTATTGGATAGTGTGGGAGTAATATGGATGAGAGGGTAGTTTTAGATGAGGGGATGTATGGATGGTATAGGGGGATATGTAGTATGAGAAGGGAGTTATGAGGATGGGAAGGATTTAGAGTGTAAGGAGTTAAGAGGTGGGGGATTTGTGTTATGTGGGTAGGGGAGTTTTTGATGAATGGGTGTATAAGATTAAGAAGGGGAAGTATAGGGTTTGGGGTGAGATGAAGGGGGGGAGTATAAGATGAAGGAGTATAAGATGGAAGGGAGTATAAGATGAAGGGAGTATAAGATGGAAGGTGAGTATAAGATGGAAGGGGAGTATGAAGATGAAGGGAGTATGAAGATGAAGGGGAGTATGAAGATGAAGGGAGTATAAGAAAGAGTATGAATGAAGGGAGTATGAAGATAAAGAAATGGGGGAGTATAGGATGATGGAAAATGAAAAGTGTCTGATGAAGGATGTGAATATTGATATGAAGATGAAGGGAGTAGTAAATGAAGAGATAGAGGTTGTTATTGTATGAAGGAGTATAGATGATGAGAGAGGGAGTAGGATGAGAGAGGGAGGTAGAGAGAGGGGAGAGTAGAGGGATGAGGAGGAGGAGAGTTATAGGATAGAGATGGGAGAAGAGAGGAGATAGAGGAGGGGAGAGAGGAAGAGAGGGGAGAGATGTAGAGGAGATGAGAGGGAGAGAGAGGGGATGAGAGAGGGAGAGGAGAGGGGATGAAGGAGGGAGAATGGAGATAGAGGAGATGAGGGAGGAGTGGAGGATGAAGGAAGGGGATATGAGAGAGGGAGTAGAATGGAGATAGAGGAAGAGAGAGGGAAGAGAGAGGGAAGAGAGTAGGGAGAGAAGGAGAAGAGAGGAGAGAGATGGGAGAGAGGAGAGAGAAGAGAGAGGGGAGAGGAGAGATAGAGGAGGGAAAGAGAGGGAGAGAGAGTGGTATAGGATAGAGGGAGAAGAGAGAGAAAGAGGGAGAGAGAGGGAAGATAGAGAGGGAGAGAGAGGGAGAGGATAGGGGAGAGAGAGAGGGGAGAGAGAGGGGAGAGATGAGGAAGAATAGGAGAGATAGGGAGAATAGAGGGTAGAGAGAGGGGAGAGAGAGATGGAGAAGAGGGTAGATATGAGAGGGAAGAGATGGAGAGATGAGAGGAGAAGAGAGGGGAGAGATAGGGAGAGAGAGAGGGGAGATAGATAGGAGAGAGAGAGGAGATAGAGAGGGGAGAGAGAGATAGAGAGAGGAGGAAGAGAGAGAGGAGAGAGAGAGGGAAATAGAGGGAGAAGAGGGAGAGAAGAAGGGAGAGAGAGAGGGAGATAGAGAGGGGAGAGAGAGGGAGAAGAGAGGGAGAGAGAGGAGATGAAGAGGGAAGGTATGAGAGCGTACAGGAGCATGCGGTTGATACATTCGGAGTCGCTTCCACACGGACTGTCGTCAGAGGATTTACAGTTACAGCGCGGGATCTCAGCCAGGTCTGCGGCCAGGATCTGGACTTTACCGATCGGACGGTTCACCTGAAGGAGAGAGAGAGGTCAGAGGTCTCTCGCCTGAAGGAGAGAGAGGTCAGAGGTCTCTCGCCTGAAGGAGAGAGGTCAGAGGTCTCTCGCCTGAAGGAGAGAGAGAGGTCAGAGGTCTCTCGCCTGAAGGAGAGACAGAGGTCAGAGGTCTCTCGCCTGAAGGAGAGAGAGAGGTCAGAGGTCTCTCGCCTGAAGGAGAGAGAGGTCAGAGGTCTCTCGCCTGAAGGAGAGAGAGAGGTCAGAGGTCTCTCGCCTGAAGGAGAGAGAGGTCAGAGGTCTCTCGCCTGAAGGAGAGAGAGAGGTCAGAGGTCTCTCGCCTGAAGGAGAGAGAGGTCAGAGGTTTCTCGCCTGAAGGAGAGAGAGAGGTCAGAGGTCTCTCGCCTGAAGGAGAGAGAGGTCAGAGGTCTCTCGCCTGAAGGAGAGAGAGGTCAGAGGTCTCTCGCCTGAAGGAGAGAGAGGTCAGAGGTCTCTCGCCTGAAGGAGAGAGAGGTCAGAGGTCTCTCGCCTGAAGGAGAGAGAGAGGTCAGAGGTCTCTCGCCTGAAGGAGAGAGAGGTCAGAGGTCTCTCGCCTGAAGGAGAGAGAGAGGTCAGAGGTCTCTCGCCTGAAGGAGAGAGAGGTCAGAGGTCTCTCGCCTGAAGGAGAGAGAGGTCAGAGGTCTCTCGCCTGAAGGAGAGAGAGAGGTCAGAGGTCTCTCGCCTGAAGGAGAGAGAGGTCAGAGGTTTCTCGCCTGAAGGAGAGAGAGAGGTCAGAGGTCTCTCGCCTGAAGGAGAGAGAGGTCAGAGGTCTCTCGCCTGAAGGAGAGAGAGGTCAGAGGTCTCTCGCCTGAAGGAGAGAGAGGTCAGAGGTCTCTCGCCTGAAGGAGAGAGAGGTCAGAGGTCTCTCGCCTGAAGGAGAGAGAGAGGTCAGAGGTCTCTCGCCTGAAGGAGAGAGAGGTCAGAGGTCTCTCGCCTGAAGGAGAGAGAGAGGTCAGAGGTCTCTCGCCTGAAGGAGAGAGAGGTCAGAGGTCTCTCGCCTGAAGGAGAGAGAGGTCAGAGGTCTCTCGCCTGAAGGAGAGAGAGGTCAGAGGTCTCTCGCCTGAAGGAGAGAGAGGTCAGGTGCTTAACCTCCGGCAGAGCACTGATGATGATGCAGAAGATTATGAGATGAAATCCCCCGGGGCCTAGACCCTGGTGGGGGGAGCGAGGAGGAGGAGGGTTGTTGCATGAGTGAAAGCTTCCTGTATATGATATGCTTCATCGCTGCAGGGTGAGGATTGACAGAGTGACACTTCCAGTCGGCTTAGGGTTCATTTTTCTTAGTACAAGGTTCAGTCTAGTTCCAGTCCAGTCCCGGTCCAGTCCCGGTGCAGTCCCGGTCCAGTCCCGGTCCAGTACCTTGATGTGCTTGTAAGGCGGTGGTTTCCTGTCGTTCTTTCGATCTTCCTGAAGTTGTCTGAGTTCCTTCTCGGTCTGGAGCTCTCTGAACCTCACTGCTGCCTCCTCCAGGGCTGGAAGACACATGACACCAGAGACCAGAGTCAGGACCAGAGAGACCCGAGAGAGGACCAGAGAGAGACCAGAGAGAGACCAGAGTCAGGACCAGAGAGACCCGAGAGAGGACCAGAGAGAGACCGGAGAGAGACCGGAGAGAGACCCGAGAGAGACCAGAGAGAGACCAGAGAGAGACCAGAGAGAGACCAGAGAGAGACCAGAGAGAGACCAGTGAGGGACCAGAGAGGGACCAGAGAGAGTAGAGTATAATAGAGTAGGATAGAGTAGAGTAGAGTAGAGTAGAGTAGAGTAGAGTAGAGTAGAGTAGAGTAGAGTCTGACCCTTCTTATACGTGGCGTCCACTCCTTTCCCCATCTTCTCGTTGCTGATGGCGTCCACGTCCATATAAGGAAACACTCGCGCCTGATAGGTCCAGAGGTAATCGTTGGAACCAAAGAAGTGAACGGGGAACTCCCCCACGTCGTGACGCATCTTCTGGATGTTCTCCGGGATCGACTTGGGGTGACTCACCTCGGCCGGCCACCACCTGCAGGGGGCGGCAGAGAGTCAGGAGACGAGAGAGACGCCAGAAAGACCAGAGTAAGAGACCAGAGAAAGGGAGAGAGAAGAGAGAGAGAGAGAGACCAGAGAAAGGGAAAGAGAAGAGAGAGAGAGAGACCAGAGAAACGGAGAGAGAAGAGAGAGAGATCAGAGAAAGGGAGAGAGAAGAGAGAGAGAGACCAGAGAAACGGAGAGAGAAGAGAGAGAGATCAGAGAAAGGGAGAGAGAAGAGAGAGAGAGACCAGAGAAAGGGAGCGAGAAGAGAGAGACCAGAGAAAGGGAGAGAGAAGAGAGAGAGAGCAGAGAAAGGGAGAGAGAAGAGAGATCAGGGAAAGGGAGCGAGAAGAGAGAGCAGAGAAAGAGAGAGAGAAGAGAGAGAGAGAGACCAGAGAAAGGGAGAGAGAAGAGAGAGAGAGATCAGAGAAAGGGAGAGAGGAGAGAGAGAGATCAGAGAAAGGGAGAGAGAAGAGAGAGAGAGACCAGAGAAAGGGAGCGAGAAGAGCGAGAGAGAGACCAGAGAAAGGGAGAGAGAAGAGAGAGAGACCAGAGAAAGGGAGAGAGAAGAGAGAGAGACCAGAGAAAGGGAGAGAGAAGAGAGAGAGACCAGAGAAAGGGAGAGAGAAGAGAGACCAGAGAAAGGGAGAGAGAAGAGAGAGAGAGAGACCAGAGAAAGGGAGCGAGGAAGAGAGAGACAGACCATAAAGAGAGGTTGCTAAGGCAACACTGTGGTGATGTCACACGATGGTGATGTCACACTGTGGTGATGTCACACGGTGGTGATGTCACACTGTGGTGATGTCACTGACCTGTAGCGTCCCACTTTGACCCACAGAATGTCTTTGATGCGTGGCTTCTTCCCTGATTTGCAGTCGTTGCAGAACCAGGATCCTTTGGGCATGTCGATGTTCAGACACTCTCTGTGGAAGGCAGCAGGACAGGACTCACAGCACAGCAGACTGCCCCCTGCAGGTCAGGAGGAGAACAGCGGTCAGACACACTCCAGTACTAGGATATACAGTAAACCAGCTGTTATTAAGGCCCTGACTGGTCTCTCTCTGGCCTCTCTCTCTGGTCTCTCTCTGGTCTCTCTCTGGTCTCTCTCTGGTCTCTCTCTCTGGTCTCTCTCTGGTCTCTCTCTGGTCTCTCTCTGGTCTCTCTCTCTGGTCTCTCTCTGGTCTCTCTCTGGTCTCTCTCTGGTCTCTCTCTCTGGTCTCTCTCTGGTCTCTCTCTGGTCTCTCTCTCTGGTCTCTCTCTCTGGTCTCTCTCTCTAGTCTCTCTCTCTGGTCCCTCTCTCTTCTCTCTCTGGTCTCTCTCTCTAGTCTCTCTCTGGTCACTTTTATCGGCTCTAACTCGTTTTAGATTCAAACAAAACCAGGGGATGGACCGGAGAGCAGATCCACAGCAGGTCAGAGGGCGTGGATGGAGCCAAACCAATCCTCGGGTCAGTGTTTACCTTCGGTGCAGACGAAGCACCAGCTGACGTTGACGTGTTCATGGTTCTTGACTCCTCTCCTGGCGCTGAAGTGGTTTGGACACACTACACTGTTGGACGACAGGATTCTGCAGCCGGCCGCCAAACACAGATCTGACGCGTGATACGCCACAGGACAGCGGACGCAACGCACCAGCCGGCCTGCAGGGGGAGAGGGGGAGGTCAGAGGGGGAGGAGTGGGAGAGGAGGAGGTCAGAGGGGGAGGAGTGGGAGAGGAGGAGGTCAGAGGGGGAGGAGTGGGAGAGGAGGAGGTCAGAGGGGGAGGAGTGGGAGAGGAGGAGGTCAGAGGGGGAGGAGAGGGAGAGGAGGAGGTCAGAGGGGGAGGAGTGGGAGAGGAGGAGGTCAGAGGGGGAGGAGTGGGAGAGGAGGAGGTCAGAGGGGGAGGAGTGGGAGAGGAGGAGGTCAGAGGGGGAGGAGAGGGAAAGGAGGAGGTCAGAGGGGGAGGAGTGGGAGAGGAGGAGGTCAGAGGGGGAGGAGTGGGAGAGGAGGAGGTCAGAGGGGGAGGAGTGGGAGAGGAGGAGGTCAGAGGGGGAGGAGAGGGAGAGGAGGAGGTCAGAGGGGGAGGAGTGGGAGAGGAGGAGGTCAGAGGGGGAGGAGTGGGAGAGGAGGAGGTCAGAGGGGGAGGAGTGGGAGAGGAGGAGGTCAGAGGGGGAGGAGAGGGAAAGGAGGAGGTCAGAGGGGGAGGAGTGGGAGAGGAGGAGGTCAGAGGGGGAGGAGTGGGAGAGGAGGAGGTCAGAGGGGGAGGAGTGGGAGAGGAGGAGGTCAGAGGGGGAGGAGTGGGAGAGGAGGAGGTCAGAGGGGGAGGAGAGGGAGAGGAGGAGGTCAGAGGAGCTTCAAGTTGTAATACCTCAACATCACACCTGTGACATCACACATGTGACATCACAGCTGTGACATCACAGCTGTGACATCACAGCTGTGACGTCACACATGTGACATCACAGCTGTGACATCACAGCTGTGACGTCACACATGTGACATCACAGCTGTGTTGCTGGAGTTGAATTGAACACAGTATTAGTGTCTGAATCCCAGCAGCAGTGTCCCAGAACACTTTACAAACACAGAGAACCATTGTGTGATTCTTATTCTTTGCCCCTCGAGACGTTTGTGAATGAATCAATGTGAATTTAGTGCAAACAGCAAATAAAACTGAATCTGAATCAATACTGACACCAGAGGGCGCTGATGTTTATTGTTTATTTATTTAGATCCCCATTAGCTACTGAAATAAAACAGTAGCTATTCTTCCTGGGGTCTTAAAAATTTCTTAACAGATATTACATCAAAGCTGTGCAACAATGAAGACAAACACAGAAAGTGCACACGAACACATATACAAGGAACATGACAATACAATATAACGTATACAGACAACATATACACATACATATACACGCATATAAACACACATAAACATATATACACACACATATAACATAACATAAAACAGTACAAGCTCTTCTATACAAAATATTGCCACCCTCTGGGTATTAAAAGAAAAGAAAAAAATAAATAAAATAAAAGTTACTATAGCTCATTATAAAGTACATTTTAATTGCATAACTATTACAGTTACTCCAAAGTAAATAAATACAGTCTAAGTCTTTTGGAAAAACTGATATTGTGAATCTCTAAAACCAAGAATAGCGGGAGCGAGTTCCATGCCACCATTGCCCTATAGCACGATGTCCTCTGAAGTTGATTTGTTCGACAGGCAGGTAACAAAAAACGGCCTTCGCTTGATTGGCGAGTGAAATGATAATGAATGTTACTAAAAAAAGTCAATTTATTATAAATTATTTCAGGTGCTTTTAAAGTAATTGTATTTTTTAGGAATTTAATTTGAGAATAAGTGATTCTGCTTCTTACATGCAGCCATGTTAACTGGTTGTGCATGTCCCTAATACTTGTTCTAAAAGAACAGTTTAGGACAAGCCGAGCTGCTTTATTTTGTGCAATCTGTAATCTATTTATATTATTCTCTGTAGATGTTGCCCAAATGATGGAACAATAGTCCAGATGACACAACACTATTGATTCCACCAAAGTTTTCCGTATTCGAGTTGGTATGCATTTTCTGCAGTGCCGAACCGCGGCCATACTCCTGCCCATTTTATTCAATATTTGTTTTATCTGAGCATTCCAAGTCAGCCTGCTGTCCACAGTTACGCCGAGCAACTTGGCCTCAGCCACTTGTTCAATGATCGAACCACCAACAACCAAGTTCAGCACAGGGGAATCTTTTAAAAGATGATTAGATCCCAACAACATACATTTGCTCTTCGAAACATTAATAATCAACTTATTTTCTTTGATCCAATTTTCTATTAATTTTAGTTCATCATTTAATATAGTATTAAGTCTAGTAGAGTCATAATCTGACACATAAATAGTTGAGCCATCTGCATATAGGGCAATACTGGCACACTCTAAAATGAAGGACAAATCATTTGTAAAAATAGAAAATAACAGTGGCCCAAGGCAACTCCCTTGAGGCACCCCACAATGCAGAAATTTTGTCTCAGAATAACTACCATTAAATAGTACATTGAACTCCCTATTTGTAAGATAGCTACAGATCCATTGGATTGCACACTTTTCAAAACCATAACAACTTAACTTTTCCAATAATAAGTCATGATCAATTAAATCAAATGCTGCACTCAGATCTAGCAGTACAGTCCCAACTAATTTTCTATCATCAATGTCTTGCAACCAATCATCCGTCATCTGAACTAAGGCTGTCGTTGTGGAGTGCCCTTTCTTATAAGCATGTTGATAGGGTGAATTCAACCCATTATTAGAGAAATACAAATTAATTTGATCATACACTATTTTCTCCGTAATCTTACTCAAAATTGGTAGAATACTTATAGGTCTGCTATTATTCCCAGAAAAAGGCTCCTTATTGTTTTTGGGAAGAGGCACAATTTTAGCTTTTTTCCAGTTAGCAGGAAAAACACATTTTTCTAAACTTAGATTAATAATATAGCATATAGGCATATTAATTACATCAGCAACCATCTTTAATAACTTGACATCAAGTTCATCAGAACCTGCAGGTTTATCTTTCATTGACTTTAATATGTTTTCTACCGTCTTCAGACTTACTCGGTCAAGTTTAAATGTACATGATTTATTAAGCATAATTTTATTTTTAATTGTCTTAAACGATAAATCATGGTTTGACTTTGAAATCATGTCTTTTTGTAAATTTTGAACTTTCTTTATAAAATAATCTCCTAAATAATTTGCTATATCAACAGGTTTAGTCAAAAAAGTGTCACCCACATCTAAAAATGTTGGTACAGATTTAGCTCTCCGCCCTGTTAATTGGTTTAATGTATTCCATAATTTATTCCTGTCTGATTTTACTTCTTCAAGTTTGTATTCGTAATGAATCCTCTTTTTTGATCTGTTTAATTTTGTAACATAATTTCTTAACTGCTTATACCTTTCCCATAATGCATTATCCCCTGAGGAGATTGCATCTGACTTTAATTGATCTCTTTCCCTCATATATTCTTTAAGTTCAGCATCTAACCATGGAGAAGCAATATTTCTCACTGTCATTCGTCTTAATGGGGCATGTTTGTCAACAACTGGCGTCAATAAATTTGTAAAGACCTCCAAAGCTAAATCAGGATCTACTTCCCGTAATACTTGTGACCAGTCAATATTTCTCATATCGGCACAAAAACTAGCCTCATTGAAATACTTAAAAATCCGTTTAATTATTATCTTCTGGCCTGGTTTAGGGACTTTGGTTTTTCTATTAATTGCAATTAAATTATGATCACTGAAGCCAACACAAATTGAAATTGCTTTTGAACACAAATCTATTGCATTAGTAAAAAGTAAATCTATGCATGTCTCTGTTTTTGTCCCATCTGTTTTATAAATAATTCTTGTTGGATTTGTGACCACTTGTGACAAATTACAAGTGTCAGCTATAGACTGCAACTTATTTTTTAATGAGCAATTATTCAAACTCCAATCAATATTTAGGTCACCAAGAAAATAAATCTCCTTCTTTAAATCACAGGCTTTATCCAACATATAACAGATTCGATCTAAATAGACTATTGGCGCATTGGGTGGCCTATAGCAGCAACCAACAAGAATAGGCTTCAAGTGTGGTAACTGCACTTCCAACCACAGCGCTTCAACCCCAATACAACCGAGATCCTGTCTAATTTTTACTGGTATTTGATGCTGAACATAAAAAGCCACTCCTCCTCCATTTATATTTCTGTCACATCTATATAATAGGTAACCATTTACATGCAAAAGGGAGTCGTTTATAGTCGCATCTAAATGTGTTTCAGTTATTGCCAAAATATGCAAATTATTTCCTAGAATCCCTGTAATATCCTGAATCTTATTTCGCAAACTACTAATATTCAAATGAGCTATTTTTAATCCTTTATTTGAGAGTATTTTATTCATCACCATTATTTATTTTACACGAATGATCACTTCTAATGAAACATATTGAAGAGCTATCAAATGAAGACAAAAGACAAAAAACACACACAACACACAAGGACACACATACACACACATTCCTACATATGCACCTCCATTTTGCCAACATTTGTCAACGACAACTAATAGGGTGTTAAGCCAACTCAGACAAACTTACTATTTTATACATAACTTCTGTGGTTATTAAATCATAATTCATAAATCAAACCAACCACTTAATCTCAGTAGCTAATACCATTTGAACTGATTTAAACCGAGATACTGAAAGCATGTACTTCAAGCTTCAGAAGCCAACCTAATATAATCAGACTATATAGGTTGCATGCGCAATGTCCATACCTGCGTGCTTTGCCATCAGTGTTCATTCGTGCTTTGCATCTCCGGATCAACAACAGTCTTGTAGAATGTCTCTGCAGCTAGGTGGTCAGTAAACTTCATGGTCTCATCTTTAAAAGTCAAAATCAAAGTAGCTGGATGAATAATCCCGTGTTTCACTCCTACGCTCCACAGCTTGTTCCTCACCTCACGGAAACGCGCCCTGGCCCTCGCCGTCTCCGCAGTAAAGTCGGGGAAAATGCGCAGCTTCATTCCACGAATCTCAAACAGCTTTTCTTTCTTGGCTAATCGTAGAATCTCTTCTTTTATTCCAAGCCGGTGCATCCTTACAATCATTGCGCGCTGTCCAGATTTAGCCACAGGTCCAACTCGGTGGGCATTTTCCACTTCAGGTGCGCGATGAAGTTTACCCTTAAATATCTCATTCAGCAAAGTGGAAACGAAACTTGTTGGGTTTCCCTTCTCAACATCTCGAGTCAAGCCAAGAATACGGATATTGTATTTCCGACTATGATTCTCCAAGCGATCGGCTTTCTCTTTCAAGTCCGTGTTCTCTTTACACAAACTTTCGTTTGCCTACTCCAGCGCCGTAACTCTGATCTCCATACGGTTCAGCGATTCCTCCATAGCAGCAACTTTGTTGGAACACTCAGTCATGTCTTTTTTAACGGCATCAAGTTGCGGTTGGAGTTTATCAACCGCCACGTTGATTTCTTCACGTATTATGGTTCGGATTAATTCTGACAGCTCCTGCTTGTTGATATTTTTTCCTGCTTCCATGTTAATCCCAGGCACCTGTTCAGCGGGGCCGAGTCCACTTAGCTTTGTTTGCGCCCTGGTTTGCTTCTTCTTTAACATATCCCAGCTCTCTCACCAGATCAAGTCAACATTCATACTCGATTGGCCGTCATTACAGATCAAAAAAGATAGTTAATTACCACAGTATTTTCGCGAGTTTGTCTGAGATTGGCGTTCTCCCAATCTGCTCAGCCTTGACGCATGCTCAGTCAAAGGTGCCTGAGGTCAGAGGTCAGAGGCGTGCGTCTCTATCAGTGGGGGCGGGTCCCAGCTAAAAAATGTCCAAAATGACGTGCGCTGACATGCTGCAGTACCACCCCGGGCCTGTGGGGGTGGACCCGGAATAAGAATTAGCCAATGCTAACATATAGCATCTTCTTAACTCTCGAAAACGTCTTTACAGGATGGTCCAAAAGTTGGCTCTTGGCCCAAAGCTCCGTTCCACATGTGTGTCAATGCTGAGTGTTCTGGACCAGTCTAGTTTAGTCGCTGTGGACTTTAGAAGTCTCTCGTTCAAATGAATGGAGCTCTCGCCGGCTGACGCATGCACAGATGTGTATCTGTGTTTTTTCAAATTTTCCAGCCCCCGCGGCCATTTTGACCGTTGTGGCACATTAGTTAGAACGGCGGAGACAGGCTTGACTACGTCTGTTAATATTTACAGTCTAGGATCTCTATGTGTGTGTGTGTGTGTGTGTGTGTGTTACCCTTGGACTGGTTGCTGGTCTGGTTGCTATGGTAGCAGGTGAGGCAGGTGTGGATGGAGCAGCGGAACCCTCGGTTGGCCGTGGGGGCAGTGGGACCGTAGGCAGCGATACACTCTCCGTGGTAGAACTTCCCACAGACCGGGATCATGCAGCGCCGCACGTCCACACCGCGTTTCTTACACACGAAACACGTGTGGAGACCTGCCACAGAGGACCGCAGTTTGGAAATCGCTACATGAACCCGTCACTCACAGACAGATGTGACAGACGTAACTATGGTAACGCTGTCTCTCTCCGGTCTCTCTATGGTCTCTCTATGGTCTCTCTCTGGTCTCTCTCTGGTCTCTCTCTCTGGTCTCTCTCTGGTATCTCTCTCTGGTCTCTCTCTGGTCTCTCTCTGGTCTCTCTTTGGTCTCTCTCTGGTATCTCTCTGGTCTCTCTCTCTGATCTCTCTCTGGTCACTCTCTCTGGTCTCTCTATGGTCTCTCTCTGGTCTCTCTCTGGTCTCTCTCTCTGGTCTCTCTCTGGTCTCTCTCTCTGGTCTCTCTCTGGTATCTCTCACTGGTATCTCTCTCTGGTACCTGATTTACACTCTGGACAGATGAACTTCCCGGTCGGAGCCTGAGCCAGAGAGATACAGGCGAGATGGAAGGCACCGCAACACTGGCCCTCACACAACAGCAGCTCCCCAGTCTTTTCACAAACCTACACACACACACACAGACACAGATGCAAACAAACACACACCCACACGCCCACACACACACACACACACAAACAAACACAGACGCACACAAACGGACAAACACACAAACATGAGAAAAAGAACAAAGAACAGAGACTTTTAGAGTTTGATCTGCTGTAAAATGTCAAGAGACAATCTAGGAAGTAAAGATGGCAAAAGAGGTCTCTCTCTGGTCTCTCTCTGGTCTCTCTCTGGTCTCTGTCTGGTCTCTCTCTGGTCTCTCTCTGGTCTCCCTCTGGTCTCCCTCTGGTCTCTCTCTCTGGTCTCTCTCTCTGGTCTCTCTCTGGTCTCTCTCTGGTCTCTCTCTATGGTCTCTCTCTGGTCTCTCTCTGGTCTCCCTCTGGTCTCCCTCTGGTCTCTCTCTAGTCTCTCTCTGGTCTCTCTCTGGTCTCTCTCTGGTCTCTCTCTGGTCTCTCTCTGGTCTCTCTCTGGTCTCTCTCTGGTCTCTCTCTAGTCTCTCTCTGGTCTCCCTCTGGTCTCTCTCTAGTCTCTCTCTGGTCTCGCTCTGGTCTCCCTCTGGTCTCTCTCTAGTCTCTCTCTGGTCTCTCTCTGGTCTCTCTCTGGTCTCTCTCTCTGGTCTCCCTCTGGTCTCTCTCTGGTCTTTCTCTTGGTCTCTCTCTGGTCTCTCTCTTGGTCTCTCTCTGGTCTCCCTCTGGTCTCTCTCTGGTCTCCCTCTGGTCTCTCTCTGGTCTTTCTCTTGGTCTCTCTCTGGTCTCTCTCTAGTCTCTCTCTGGTCTCCCTCTGGTCTCCCTCTGGTCTCTCTCTAGTCTCTCTCTAGTCTCTCTCTGGTCTCTCTCTGGTCTCTCTCTGGTCTCTCTCTCTGGTCTCCCTCTGGTCTCCCTCTGGTCTCTCTCAGGTCTCTCTCTGGTCTCTCTCTGGTCTCTCTCTGGTCTCTCTCTGGTCTCTCTCTGGTCTCTCTCTGGTCTCTCTCTGGTCTCTCTCTGGTCTCTCTCTGGTCTCTCTCTGGTCTCTCTCAGACCTGGCAGATGCTCTCCTTCATAGAGGCAGGTCCTCCTCTGTCTCCGATGATTTTCCTCTGTCCGGCCTCGTCCAGGACCAGGTCACTTTGGTCCAGACTCAGGTCCATCTGCACGAACAGAACAAACATCAGAGAAGAATGTGCATCAATGTGTTCTGGCCCCGAACCTCATCTTGGGAATCATTTACAAAGACACTAGAAATATGTTTGAATTGAAAATACAGTACATTATATGGATGAACATGTACAGTTATATATGTTTCTCTGATCTTTGATCGCCATCTACTCTCTGACCTCTCTGTGGTCTCTCTGTGGTCTCTCTGTGGTCTCTCTGTGGTCTCTCTCTGGTCTCCTTCTGGTCTCCCTTTGGTCTCCCTCTGGCCTCTCTCTGACCTCTCTGTGGTCTCTCTGTGGTCTCTCCTTGGTCTCTCTCTGGTCTCTCTCTGGTCTCCCTCTAACCTCTCTATGGTCTTTCTGGTCTCTCTCTGGTCTCTCTCTGGTCTCTCTCTGGTCTCTCTCTGGTCTTTCTCTGGTCTCCCTCTGACCTCTCTATGGTCTCTATGGTCTCTCTGTGGTCTCTCTGTGGTCTCTCTCTGGTTTCTCTCTGATCTCTCTCTAGTCTCTTTCTGGTCTCTCTCTGGTCTCCCTCTGGTCCCTCCCTGGTCTCTGGCTCACCTCCTCCTGCTCCTCATGACACTGTGGGTCCAGAGGCAGTGATAGTTCAAACTCCTCTTCCTCCTCCTCCTCCTCCTCCTCCTCTGTGGCCTCTTCAGTGGCAGCCTCCTCTGGGTCTGAACCTGGACCGGACTCTAGCTCCGGCTCTGGACCTGGACTGGTCTGACCCCCAGAGGGCGCTGCAGGCTCCGTGGGGGGCAGGCAGGTGCTGGAGATGATCAGCTGCTTCAACTTCTTCAGAGCCTGAGGATCTGAGGGAAACACAATCATGATCTCAGTGTCAGCAATGGCTAAAAAACGTGAGCATACGTTCTTCCCTGAGTGTGTGACATCACAATAGTGACACCCTGAACATTTGAACATTAGCTAGCTGGGTTAGCTGTGTTAGCTTTGCGCCACAACAAGAGCAGACGTGTTGCTAAAACTATTACTGAGGCAAGCTGGAGTTTCTCTGGTCTCTCTCTAGACATTGTACTGAAATCACATTGAAATATTATCTCTCTCTGGTCTCTATTTGGTGTCCATCCCTGGTCTCTCCCTCTGGTCTACCTCACTGCTCTCCTCTCTGGTCCCTCTCTCTGGTCCCTCTTTCTGGTCCCTCTCTCACTGGGCCCTCTCTCTGGTCCCTCTCTCTCTGGTCCCTCTCTCTGGTCCCCCTTGCTCTGGTCCCTCTCTCTGGTCCCTCTCTCTCTCTGGTCTCTCTCTGGTCCCTCTCTCTGGTCCCTCTCTCTCTGGTCCCTCTCTCTCTGGTCTCTCTCTCTGGTCCCTCTCTCTGGTCCCTCTCACTGGTCCCTCTCTCTGGTCCCTCTCTCTGGTCCCTCTCTCTGGTCCCTCTCACTGGTCCCTCTCTCTGGTCCCTCTCTCTGGTCCCTCTCTCTGGTTCCTCTCTCTCTGGTCCCTCTCTCTCTGGTCCCTCTCTCTGGTCCCTCTCTCTCTGGTCCCTCTCTCTCTGGTCTCTGGTCTCTCTGGTCCCTCTCTCTCTGGTCTCTGGTCTCTCTGGTCTCTGGTCTCTCTGGTCCCTCTCTCTCTGGTCCCTCTCTCTCTGGTCTCTGGTCTCTCTGGTCCCTCTCTCACTGGTCCCTCTCTCTGGTCTCTCTCTCTGGTCCCTCTCTCACTGGTCCCTCTCTCTGGTCTCTCTCTCTGGTCCCTCTCTCTCTGGTCCCTCTCTCTCTGGTCTCTGGTCTCTCTGGTCCCTCTCTCACTGGTCCCTCTCTCTGGTCCCTCTCTCTCTGGTCCCTCTCTCTCTGGTCTCTGGTCTCTCTGGTCCCTCTCTCTCTGGTCTCTGGTCTCTCTGGTCCCTCTCTCTGGTCTCTCTCTCTGGTCCCTCTCTCTCTGGTCCCTCTCTCTGGTCCCTCTCTCTGGTCCCTCTCTCTCTCTGGTCTCTCTCTCTGGTCCCTCTCTCTGGTCCCTCTCTCTCTGGTCCCTCTCTCTGGTCCCTCTCTCTGGTCCCTCTCTCTGGTCCCTCTCTCTGGTCCCTCTCTCACTGGTCCCTCTCTCTCTGGTCCCTCTCTCTGGTCCCTCTCTCTGGTCCCTCTCTCTGGTCCCTCTCTCTGGTCCCTCTCTCTGGTCCCTCTCTCTGGTCCCTCTCTCTCTGGTCCCTCTCACTGGTCCCTCTCTCTGGTCTCTCTCTCTGGTCTCTCTCTCTGGTCTCTCTCTCTGGTCCCTCTCTCTGGTCCCTCTCTCTCTCTGGTCCCTCTCTCTGGTCCCTCTTTCTCTGGTCCCTCTTTCTCTGGTCCCTCTCTCTCTGGTCCCTCTCTCTGGTCTCTCTCTCTGGTCCCTCTCTCTCTGGTCCCTCTCTCTGGTCTCTCTCTCTGGTCCCTCTCTCTGGTCCCTCTCTCTGGTCCCTCTCTCTGGTCCCTCTCTCTGGTCCCTCTCTCTGGTCCCTCTCTCTCTGGTCCCTCTCTCTGGTCCCTCTCTCTGGTCCCTCTCTCTGGTCCCTCTCTCTGGTCCCTCTCTCTGGTCCCTCTCTCTCTGGTCCCTCTCACTGGTCCCTCTCTCTGGTCCCTCTCTCTGGTCCCTCTCTCTCTGGTCCCTCTCACTGGTCCCTCTCTCTCTGGTCCCTCTCTCTGGTCTCTCTCTCTGGTCCCTCTCTCTGGTCCCTCTCTCTGGTCTCTCTCTCTCTGGTCCCTCTCACTGGTCCCTCTCTCTCTGGTCCCTCTCTCTGGTCTCTCTCTCTGGTCCCTCTCTCTGGTCCCTCTCTCTGGTCTCTCTCTCTGGTCCCTCTCTCTCTGGTCCCTCTCTCTGGTCCCTCTCTCTGGTCCCTCTCTCTGGTCCCTCTCTCTCTGGTCCCTCTCTCTGGTCTCTCTCTCTGGTCCCTCTCTCTGGTCCCTCTCTCTGGTCCCTCTCTCTGGTCCCTCTCTCTGGTCCCTCTCTCTGGTCCCTCTCTCTCTGGTCCCTCTCTCTGGTCCCTCTCTCTGGTCCCTCTCTCTGGTCCCTCTCTCTGGTCCCTCTCTCTGGTCCCTCTCTCTGGTCCCTCTCTCTCTGGTCCCTCTCACTGGTCCCTCTCTCTGGTCCCTCTCTCTGGTACCTCTCTCTCTGGTCCCTCTCACTGGTCCCTCTCTCTCTGGTCCCTCTCTCTGGTCCCTCTCACTGGTCCCTCTCTCTGGTCCCTCTCTCTGGTCCCTCTCTCTGGTCCCTCTCTCTGGTCCCTCTCTCTCTGGTCCCTCTCACTGGTCCCTCTCTCTCTGGTCCCTCTCACTGGTCCCTCTCTCTGGTCCCTCTCTCTGGTCCCTCTCTCTGGTCCCTCTCTCTGGTCCCTCTCTCTGGTCCCTCTCTCTCTGGTCCCTCTCTCTGGTCCCTCTCTCTGGTCCCTCTCTCTGGTCCCTCTCTCTGGTCCCTCTCTCTGGTCCCTCTCTCTCTGGTCCCTCTCTCTGGTCCCTCTCTCTGGTCCCTCTCTCTGGTCCCTCTCTCTGGTCCCTCTCTCTCTGGTCCCTCTCTCTGGTCCCTCTCTCTCTGGTCCCTCTCACTGGTCCCTCTCTCTGGTCCACTCTCTCTGGTCCCTCTCTCTGGTCCCTCTCTCTGGTCCCTCTCTCTGGTCCCTCTCTCTGGTCCCTCTCTCTCTGGTCCCTCTCTCTGGTCCCTCTCTCTCTGGTCCCTCTCACTGGTCCCTCTCTCTGGTCCCTCTCTCTGGTCCCTCTCTCTGGTCCCTCTCTCTGGTCCCTCTCTCTGGTCCCTCTCTCTCTGGTCCCTCTCTCTGGTCCCTCTCTCTGGTCCCTCTTTCTGGTCCCTCTCTCTGGTCCCTCTCTCTGGTCCCTCTCTCTGGTCCCTCTCTCTCTGGTCCCTCTCTCTGGTCCCTCTCTCTGGTCCCTCTCTCTGGTCCCTCTCTCTGGTTCCTCTCTCTGGTCCCTCTCTCTCTGGTCCCTCTCTCTGGTCCCTCTCTCTGGTCCCTCTCTCTGGTCCCTCTCTCTCTGGTCCCTCTCACTGGTCCCTCTCTCTGGTCCCTCTCTCTGGTCCCTCTCTCTGGTCCCTCTCTCTGGTCCCTCTCTCTGGTCCCTCTCTCTGGTCCCTCTCTCTCTGGTCCCTCTCTCTGGTCCCTCTCTCTGGTCCCTCTCTCTCTGGTCCCTCTCTCTGGTCCCTCTCTCTGGTCCCTCTCTCTGGTCCCTCTCTCTGGTCCCTCTCTCTGGTCCCTCTCTCTCTGGTCCCTCTCTCTGGTCCCTCTCTCTGGTCCCTCTCTCTGGTCCCTCTCTCTGGTCCCTCTCTCTGGTCCCTCTCTCTCTGGTCCCTCTCTCTGGTCCCTCTCTCTGGTCCCTCTCTCTGGTCCCTCTCTCTCTGGTCCCTCTCACTGGTCCCTCTCACTGGTCCCTCTCTCTGGTCCCTCTCTCTGGTCCCTCTCTCTGGTCCCTCTCTCTGGTCCCTCTCTCTCTGGTCCCTCTCTCTGGTCCCTCTCTCTGGTCCCTCTCTCTGGTCCCTCTCTCTGGTCCCTCTCTCTGGTCCCTCTCTCTGGTCCCTCTCTCTGGTCCCTCTCTCTGGTCCCTCTCTCTGGTCCCTCTCTCTGGTCCCTCTCTCTGGTCCCTCTCTCTGGTCCCTCTCTCTCTGGTCCCTCTCTCTGGTCCCTCTCTCTCTGGTCCCTCTCTCTGGTCCCTCTCTCTGGTCCCTCTCTCTGGTCCCTCTCTCTGGTCCCTCTCTCTGGTCCCTCTCTCTCTGGTCCCTCTCTCTGGTCCCTCTCTCTGGTCCCTCTCTCTGGTCCCTCTCTCTCTGGTCCCTCTCTCTGGTCCCTCTCTCTGGTCCCTCTCTCTGGTCCCTCTCTCTGGTCCCTCTCTCTGGTCCCTCTCTCTCTGGTCCCTCTCTCTGGTCCCTCTCTCTGGTCCCTCTCTCTGGTCCCTCTCTCTCTGGTCCCTCTCACTGGTCCCTCTCTCTGGTCCACTCTCTCTGGTCCCTCTCTCTGGTCCCTCTCTCTGGTCCCTCTCTCTGGTCCCTCTCTCTGGTCCCTCTCTCTCTCGGTCCCTCTCTCTGGTCCCTCTCTCTGGTCCCTCTCTCTGGTCCCTCTCTCTGGTCCCTCTCTCTGGTCCCTCTCTCTGGTCCCTCTCTCTGGTCCCTCTCTCTGGTCCCTCTCTCTGGTCCCTCTCTCTGGTCCCTCTCTCTGGTCCCTCTCTCTGGTCCCTCTCTCTGGTCCCTCTCTCTGGTCCCTCTCTCTGGTCCCTCTCTCTCTGGTCCCTCTCTCTCTCTCTGGTCCCTCTCTCTGGTCCCTCTCTCTGGTCCCTCTCTCTCTGGTCCCTCTCTCTGGTCCCTCTCTCTCTCTCTGGTCCCTCTCTCTGGTCCCTCTCTCTGGTCCCTCTCTCTGGTCCCTCTCTCTGGTCCCTCTCTCTGGTCCCTCTCTCTCTGGTCCCTCTCTCTCTCTGGTCTCTCTCTGGTCCCTCTCTCTGGTCCCTCTCTCTGGTCCCTCTCTCTCTCTCTCTCTCTCTGGTCCCCTCTCCCTCTCTGGTCCCTCTCTCTCTCTGGTCTCCTCTCTCTGGTCTCTCTCTGGTCCTCTCTCTGGTCCCTCTCTCTGGTCCCTCTCTCTCTCTGGTCCTCTCTCTGGTCCCTCTCACTGGTCGCTCTCTCTGGTCGCTCTCTTCTCTGGTCTCTCTCTCTGGTCGCTCTCTCTGGTCTCTCTCTCTGGTCTCTCTCTCTCTGGTCCCTCTCTCTCTGGTCCTCTCTCTCTGGTCCTCTCTCTGGTCCCTCTCTCTGGTCCCTCTCTCTGGTCCCTCTCTGGTCCCTCTCTCTGGTCTCTCTCTGGTCCTCTCTCTGGTCCCTCTCTCTGGTCGCTCTCTCTGGTCTCTCTCTCTGGTCGC